GCATGATCTTTTCCTGCTCCGTCCAATTTGCTGCAAAAGACATGTGTTTCTTTTTTTTTTTTAATTATTTTTTATTTTTTATTTTATAACATGTGTTTCTTTTTTTTTTTTGGTTGCTGAGTAATATTCCATTGTATATATGTACCACATCTTTTTAATCCAGTCATGGAAGTAGCTACATTTTTGACAGACCCCAACCTCATGTCTTGTTTTTTTTTTTTTTTAAATAGAAGAGTTGCTGCTGCCATAGTGGCAAATGGAGTAAAAACGAACCTGTGGAGTCTCCCAGTGATCACGCCGGGCCCACGACTTAGCACCCCCAGTGTGCGTTGCCCCTCCACCTGAGTTAGGTGCACGCACAGTCGAGGACACTCCTGTCACTTGTGGACAGGGGAGAAGGCGGGTTTTCCTGGATATTTTTATGGTGCAGGGAAAAGCCAGAAAGGGGCTGAGCAGCCGCGCAGCAGGTGCTGCGCTGGTGCCCGGAGAGCCCCGCGGGTGCGCGGTTCCAGGGCCAGGCCCCAGGTGGTGTGTCCGGACCTTTCTCCCTCTTTCAGCAAATTCAGAAGCATTTTGTAGCGTCCCGGCGAGTCTCTCCATTTCATTTCATCACAAAAATACGTCTGCGTTGGCAATGGCAGTGGAAACACAGTGACTCTGAGGGACCAACTGGGAATGGGGCTTGTCTGGGGCTGTGAGGGGCCATCGTGTGGCCTGTGCCCCAGAGCTGTGCAAGCTGGAAGCCTGGCGTTTGCGCCTCAGGAAGGACTGGCTCTCTTTTCCTTTTACGCGTCTAAAGGGGCGTAGGTCAGAAAGAATTTTTTTGTTTTGTTTTTACAGGTTTGTTTTATGCATACAAGAACTAGGGTACAGGCCAGAGGAGTGGGGTGAAGGTGAGAGGATTCACCAGAGAGAGTGGGGAGCTGAACAGGCAGATGGACTGAACTACACTGCTGAGGGGTGCAGCAGGCAGGAGAGGTCTGCCGCGTGATGAGGGTCAGCTCCGGGGTCGGGAACTGAACTTGCGCTGCACTGGCTTTGGATAGCTTCCTAGTGCTGGCCTTTAACCCGTTGCACCACCAGGGAGGGCTCAGAAAGAATTGTTTTACAAGACTGTTTTTGTTCTAAATGCTGTTCTGTAGAGGTGTAGGCAGCTGCTGTTCTGGCCAAGGTGGGGTTGTGATGATCACCCTGAGTCTGCAGCCTGGTGCTCAATAGGGAGCAGGGATGGCTGGAAAGCACCATCCCACCTTTTTGTGGGGATTTTGACCTTTGTAATTTTTGGTGATTAGTCTTGCAAATAAGAAAAAGAGGACTTTATAATTTAGGGGTATTTTGGTAGGATGGAGTTACCTCATTCAGGAATACTGACAGTAATTCTTTTGTTTTTAGTCCCTGTTATGGTGTGAGGTGAGGTAAGGGAGGGCTTCTTCAGAGAAACCAGGTATTTTTAATTAGGGGGTTAGAGGGAATTGTGGTAGAACCCCAAAACACACCTTAAATCTGTGATGTAATAAATTACATGTTCTGTGCAGTATAATGACAGATGTCCAGTTTAATCAAAAGGATAAAGATGAGCATATATTAGTAGTTGCATGTAACATCAACCAGGTAAGTGATCAGCCTTTGCTAAGCTAGCTCTATAATGGGTGCTTGGAACAGTAATTGTTGAAAAATTTCCCTTTCATTCCCTGCTCCCCAGCCTCCCAAGTAAAGGAGTGATAGTCTGAGAAGGAAACCCCCTCCCCACCCTGCCTTCCAGAGCCGAGCCATAATCTAAATATGGATTTCTAGTACTTTCCTAGCAGATCCACAAGTCTCTTAATTAACATTCTTTCATGGTGTTGTTTAACTTACATATTAAAAAAAAAAAAAAACTAACCAGCCCCATTTTCTCCGTGGGGCTCCGTGCTGTGAGCCTGACAGGACAGCCCACTGTCTGATTTTCCACCCTGCTACCTGGGGTCTGCCAGCACCCAGCTCTCCCCTCTGGAGCACTCTCTGTATATGCTGCCTCCCCATGTGTCCTGACCCTCCAGCCTGGGGCTCAGGCCCTGGGCTGCTGGGCTTTGGTGTTCTGGGCCTCATGAAGGACGATTTACTGAAGTGGGAGATGCCATGCGTTTCTCTGTGAACATTCTGTTCTTTGTGTCTTTTCGTATGACCTTCAGGTGGGAAGACCCTGCAGGTGACACGCTGTTGTACCATTGTCTTTTTGCCTTGGCAGAAATCATTTTAGAGCGTGAGACATGAGCACCTCATTCAAGTAGAAAAGGCTCACACTCCAGGGTCAGCAGTTTGCAAGGCCTTCACCACGTTTTCTCTTTACACATACACATACCTCCTCCTTAGTCCGGAACACATGCATCAGATTTGATTTTTCATTTTAGCATATTTCATTTGCTCTGCTCTTGCTTTTGCTTTGCCTTTCCCATAATTTTGTAGACTTTACAAGTCTGCAGAGGCACGGCAGGTCACCGGTGTTTATTGTGTCTCACTAATGTGAGTTTGTGTCTATCTTTAACCTGTCATGGCCGAGGGTTGATGACAGAGCTGTGACTGGGGCTTCGGGACTATTCCCAGCCAGGGCTGGGGTACCTGCACGTGGCTGGTTTTCTGGTTGCTGGCTTCCACTTCCGATGACAGCAGCATAGCAGTTGAGGTCATCCTGACACTTTCAAGAAACTGTCTTCAAATAAAGACCCTGGTTATTTTATTGGTGCTGTGTTGAGACTGACCTTGCGCCATCGGTGTCTTTATAAGATTACTAAGTTAAACATTTTGTGAGGATGATTTGTCCTAGGCTTCGGAAGCAGCCGCTAGAAAAGCTCATTACATGCATACTGTTAAGCCCTTGGATATGTGAAATCTGGATCCTGCTCTTCTAAGCGTATGTGATCCTTGGCAGTCTGATTGGTGATAAAGATTTGCATGCTCAGAATCTGTATATCCGTGTAATCTATGTGATTGAGAGCAGGTGGGTCAACAGGTGGGCTCTGAGGGGTGTGTTGGCCTGTGCAAGGGTCATGTAGACATCCAAGGGAGGTTTGGTCAGGCGTCCGAATCCAACAGAGAAACAGTGACATAAGCCAGCCTCAGAGAAGCCCTCCGGATTTTAAGACTTTTGTATCTATCGCTGGAAAATCAGAGGCACTTGGTTGTTTAGTGTTAAAATTTTTCTGGACAATTGTTAAGTTTCAGTGGTAAACGCAGAAAGATTCCGCTCTGTCCTTCTACTAATAGGCTTGATAGATCAAGTTCTCGCTTGATGAAACTTTGGCTTTGTATTTCTCTTAGCCGAGTACGTATGTGAAAACAGGGCTGTCGACATGGAGTACAGTGCTCGTGGAGGATTGTCTGGGGGCTCACAGGGTGGCAGTGGGGTGGCATACAGTGCTGGAGGAATCTTAAGGAAGTTACTCCAAAAACATTTAGTTGCCATAAAATATATGACCATAGCACAGCTAGTCACAGAATTGCTACAGTTCAGAGAGCCTCACCTGGGAGTGTGTTGGGGGAGTGTAGAAGTATTTTTGATTGTCACAGTGGTGGGAGGCACACTGGCCTTGGTTGCCCAGGGTGGTGCCAGGTGGCCATTCACTGAGGGACAGTGTGCCCCGGGAGGGGTCGGCTACAATTATTAAAGGAATAATTGTAGTTCTTTCCAAGTAACTTGTGCAGTGGGCTGTCCTGAGTCTCACCTTTTGCATGAACATTGAGCTTTTGTAACTTCACATCATCTCCAGTTTCATGGAAGAGAGTCCATGAGGCTGCATGGAGGGCCTCTAAGGAAGGGCATGTCACATGCATGCCCGGAAGCCACCTCGTGTTGATACACAAACGCAGGAACGTACCCGTTAGCCCAGATTACTGGTGTCCTGGCGCTGCGCTCCCTAGTGGGAAGCAAGTTGGGATGCTACTCCCTGGGCCAGTGATGGCTAAAGGTCCACTTGGATGACCAGGCCTTCATACTGATCAAGTGCCTTTGATTCTTAGAGCTGGCACAGTGAGTGTGGCTGAACAGCTCAAGGGAAACAAACCCAAACAGCTAAGGAACAGAGGGCCGGGGCGGGGAGATGGAAATGTCAGTCGCTGTGCTTTGTAGTAACGGACGTCAGCATGCCTTCGTGTGAAAATGCCATTAAACTAGTTCCTTGGTTTAAGTTACAACTTGAACATGGTCTTAAAGGTCTAGAAAGGAAAGAAAAATAGAAGCAAGTTCATGAAGACATAGAGTTACGCTTAATGGTGTGTGTGCGCGCGCAGTCTGGTGTCACAGCAGACAGGCCCCCTACAGTGGCCTGATTTTGCAGTTTCTGATGACTTACGTGACTCCCACTACGTGCCTGGTGGAAGGCTCCTCTTCAGACTGTATTCAGAAGCAAGTGTGCCATATGCGTTTGTAAGAAATGATTTGTCTTCTCCTGGTTTTGCTACTCTATAAATATATTGAACCCAAATTTTAAAGGAATAATTGTAGTTCTTTCCAAATAACTTGTGTTAAAATATTTGCATTATATGGTGAGGTTCTTGTTCTGTTCCTCAAAGACAGCACCCCCCGGAAATGTTAGTAAATCCATTTTCAGGGACTTGAAAAACAAAATACTGGTTAAGGGGTCTTGACTGTGTATGCATTTAACACAGTATTGATATAAATAAAAGACTTTTCCACTGCATAATAAGTCACTCAACAGTGCTTTGTGTTTCTGTTTTACAAGGCTGATTTATTTCTTAGGAATGACACAACTCCAAAGCAAAAATTTGATGTCATTCTAACATGTCTGCTTACTATTGTAGCATACAGTGAAGATGAATAGAAATCTAGTTTATGGTGGATAGTAAATCTGCAAGGTAACTTCTTAGTGCAGATGGCAGCTGACTGGGCACGAAGTTGCTTTATGAACGGCCCTTTGAGCCAACTCTGCAGTTCTGTATGTGGTTTTAAATCACTGTCCATTTGTAGGCAGGTACATATTACAATTGTCTGTTTTTCTTTTTAGGGCTCATGTAATCAAAGAAGTTTCTTTGTTGTGTGTATCTTTTCAGAACACAACAGGAATTGAAAATGAATCAGGTGAGTTTAAAAATAAGAATTTATACATTACTTAGATGCTAGACCAGTTCTTGCTTTTGAAAAGCTAGAAACACACACATTCATTTCTCCCAGATTTTCCTTTCTGTTTCTTCATATCCGCTGGTTATGTCACTGCTCGTACAGTGTGTGTTGGTGTGTTGGTGGCGCAGAAGGGGCGTTATCTCAGGCGGGCGGGCGTTTCTGTGGAGCCCGGGAAGACCTGGACCAGGCTTTCTTTTTACCTTTTTTCTGCCACACTATAGTGTTCAATTTTTTGAGGCTAGTAAGCTTTTGTTTTGATACTTCTTATTTTGTAACTTCCCATTGATTGAACAGGGAAGATCGAAAGTTACTTTTCCAGGTTCTCCTGATCACTTGGGAAATTAAGCATTTTCTCTTTGAAAAACCTTTTTGTAGAATAAAAACAAGAGGGCAGTAATTGAAAAGTAAATTGTGTGCCTTTTTAAAGGAGTGTGGGATTACCTGGAGATTAAAGTTCTGCTGTGGTTCTTTCTAAGGCCACCAGGGTGTTCTGGTAAATAGAGCCAATTATGCTGGACCCCACTATACTTTGAAGTAGAATTTCTGGTCTTAGTAACATTTCACTTGTAGTTACAGAAATATACAGGGATCAGAAACACTTTCTTTGAAATCTTCATAAGCATATTTAAAAACATATGAAGGATAAAAGTTAAAAATGTCAAGTCTGTAATTTTAAGTGCTTAGCTTAAAACTATCAAACTTGAAAAGTCTTTATATCCTCAGCCCCTGAAACTTCGAGCACCCCCCCTTTATTTTATCATTTACAGGTGCTTGAGATCGTAAGCTTCATTAGGCGGCCAGGTTTAATAAATCCAGTCCCATGTCGGGTTGAGGGGGTATGCAGTTTTTAGGAAGGATCCTTTTGATTTCTTTTCATTACTTTATCAAAAATAAGTTTTATTTTAATGCAATGAACCAATCCTCATAAAACCAGAATCTGGTGAGCACATGAGGCTTATGGTTTCTATTATTTTAAAATTTGCAGATTTACTGAGATGCTTTTGAAGGCAAGTTGTTGTTGAAATGGTGCGATGGGGGAGGGAAAAGGAGAACCACGCTGGTTATCACGGGAGCGGCCCATCGAAGTCACGTGCACAGAGAAGCTGTCGATTTTATTTTCCTGTTGAGGTGATTCTCACTGTGAACCTGGTCACCCAGGGACTTGGGTTCTACTTGGGGAGCTGCGTTAGAGCAGCCTTGGCGGTGGGCCAGAGTGCCCTTGCGTGTTTCAAAGTGGAATCTAAAGGCTGACCTTGCTTGCACTGCCTCACAGTTTAGCAGTCGTTTCTTTCAGGTAATCACGACTTGAAGCTCCTGCTTGCTAACGCTGCCATTCTTACACCCTCGTACAGCCGCCCTGTTTTATAGTTCACGTACTTTAGGCCAGTGGGACACTTTGCTTCGGTGCCACACTTACGGCCGATGAACCTGTGGTAAAGAAAGCCCACCTGGTGCTCCAGAGAGTTGTAGCAAACACGTTTCTTTGGTTGGCTCTTTTACAATTTCATGTCGCTTTTGACAAGTTTAATATCAAACTGCAGAGGACTGCCTTTGATGCCAGATGCCAGCGGTCAGCGGGAGGGGCCTCCCTGGCCTAATGGCTAGCACGTTTCAGACTTGGATGTAATTTAAATGGTCTGGTAGGAAAGAAACTTTCATTTGGATTATAAAAATTGTCCGCATTTTATGAGTCAGGAACTTAGTGTCTTTGGTTGTGTTTTCATCATTTGAGGAATATTAGTTACTTGATATTTAGATCTTATAGTTATGTCATGGCACAAAACCAGTGAGCTTTTTAATGGTGAACTTAGTAGGTTTTAAAACCTAAAGTGGCACAAAGTGAGTGCTTTTTTTTTTTTTTTTAGAGATTTTTATTTATTTGTGCATATAGAAGTGGGGTACAGGCCAGAGGCTCAGGGGGTGAGAGGATTCACCAGAGACAGAGTGGGGAGCAGAACAGGCAGATCTATGAAGTACACTGCTGAGGGGAGCAGCGGGCGGGTCCGGAGAGGTCTGGGGGAGCGGTGGGTGGGTCAGGAGAGGTCTGCCGTGCCATGTGGTCACCTCCCGGGCAGGCGGGAATCGAACTCATGCGGAAGTGGCTTTAGCTTCTCAGTGCTGTGCTTTAACCCGCTGCGCCACCAGGGAGGGCCTAAAGTGAGTGCTTTTTAATGATGAATTTAGTAGGTTTTAAAACCCAAAATTGAGGACACTTTATGTTTTCCCTTGTATTTGTTCCTCTTATTTTTAGTAAGCGAGAAGCTATGCAAAAATTCAGATATTAAAAAGTTTTCATGTGAATCAGGCTGACTTTAATTCAAGGCTTGATTAATGATTTTGGGACGAAACGTTTCTCCCCAGGGATGTGATGAATTTCCGCTGTCGGACCTGTGGCCGATGGTGGGTGTGGCCTCGCAGACAGTAGCTCCGAATCATTCCTTCACCTGTGTGTGACAGCTGAAGTGTTTTGGGCCTGCAGAGGCCTAGAGCCTTGAGCATACCTCACCATTGACAACTGAGTCCTTTAGAAGAAATGAGTCCAAAGCCTTCCGGTGCTTTGAGCGCTGGGTTAGTGCATGTTCTGAACCGCTCCGCTTGCCAGCGTGTTCAGGTGGCTCCAGGCTGCCCCTCGGCCCAGCCCTGGGCTGCACAGGACCCTAGGCCCACGAGTTCTTTGTCTTTTGCTTCCGCTCTGTCCTTCACTCAGCACTGACCCCTCCTTGACATCTCTCACCTTCCCTGCTTAGAGCCTGTCTCTCCCCCACTGACCTTGTGGACAGGACGGGAGGGGCACGGCCTCTCTGCACTCCATTTTCAAGCCATAGGAACCCTTTACGCTGCTTCTTAACACACTCACCCATCCCATTTTTAACTTTTGACATGTTCCACTCTTGTCCTGGCTTTATCTGGATAGAACTGAATAAATGACCTCTTCAATGAGCCGTGTACCTTCCTTTGCTTTACTGTAGAGGGCCCTCAGCGAGCGGGGCCCGTGAGTAAGTCTCCTGAGCGGCTCTCAGTGCTGCCCACTTGCTCAGCTGCCAGCCACTCCACAGGGTGTCGGGGGCCTTCTGTCACACCTCGGTCTTTCAGCCACTCTGTAAAGTATCGGTGCCACAGGCTCATTTTCTGGACGAGACGTTGAGGCCCAGGGAGGCCTTGACCCACCTGGGGTCACTTGAGCAGGACGCGACAGGCTCTGAGTCACTCCCACTGGTCAGTGTGTCCACAGCCTGGCTCCTGGTCACCATGTGGCGCTGCTCCCTCGGTGGGGGCTCGCTGGGTCTTGCTGCGCTGACGGACAGGCAGGCGACTCCCAGACCGCAGGACCCTCGCATGCACGGCCAGTGTGGGTCAGCCCTCGTAGTTGCTCAGGAGGCAAGGAGGACAGAGACTGAGTCCCATCTCTTACCACTTCTACTCACATTTATTGTATAACTGGACACATCCCAAGTAAAACTCTGCCCTGTGGCCACGCCCCACGTAAACCTCGAGCCCCAGAGCAGAGCAGCCCAGCAGTGCTTTTAGAGGACTGGGCAGGGAGAGCTGCACAGTGACCACAGCCCTCGTCACTCCCCCTCATTGCGATGCAGTTGTCCTGGTGCTTTGTCTGTGCTTCAGCCTAATGATTTGAAACAAGTGACTCAGTTACTCATTTATTTATTTATTTATTAAAGATTTATTTATTCATACAGAACTGGGGTACAGGCCAGAGATGCGGAGGGTGAGAGGCTTCACCAGAGACAGAGCGGGGAGCAGAACAGGCAGATCTACGAAGTACACTGCTGAGGGGAGCAGCGGGTGGTCAGGAGAGGTCTGCCGTGCCATGTGGTCACCTTCGGGGCAGGTGGGGATCGAACTCATGCGGAAGTGGTTTAAGCTTCTTTGTGCTGTGCTTTAACCCGCTGCGCCACCAGGGAGGGCCCTCAGTTACTCATTTATTAAGTCACACTTAGGTTTTTTAAAGGAATCTTGGCATAACTCAAATTGTTACTAGCATTTGAAAGTTCCTGCTGTTTTATATGGTGACGTCAGAAGAGAAGCTTTGACCACTTGATGCTGCAGATCCCTGGGATTGTGGTCAGTGATCTGATTTGCGTCATCTTTAACTGTCCTTGTCGTCCTGCATGGACTGTGTTCCAGGGTGTGTGGGTCCCACAGTGAACCAGGTCAGCCAGGGCTCTGCTCTGCAACTTCCGCGCTCCCAGAGGGGTGGTGAAAAAGCAGGAAGAAAAATAAGGTGACTTGTGATAGAGGAGTGTGTGTCGTGAAGACAGAGACGAGGTCCAGTGAGAGGGTCGTGGGCAGAGGCCCCTGGATGACATGGTCAGAGAAGGCTGTTCTGAAGAGGTGCAGACTGGAGACTCCTTAACCCAGAACCACATATGTGAGGCTCTGGTGAAGAAAATTCTAGGCAGAGCGAGCAAACAGTGAGTGCAAAGGCCTGGAGGTGGAGTGAGCTTGCCGGGTCAAGAAACAGAGCAGAGCAGGACCCGGGCTTGGCCAGCACCAGGGACCCTGGGTCAGGATGAAGTCCTGTGAGAGTGGAGGGCTAGATTTAGGGGCCAAGGGCCACCGGGAAGAGCTTCAGTTGAGTCCTAGGCATGGGAAACAAACACCAGAAGTCACACCCGGTTCCCATTTTCAGACCGTCACTCTCATGAAGTGACTGGGGTGGAGGGCCAGAGCATGGCGCTGCACTTATTGGTTATTCAGATTAGGGCCGTCTTCGGGGATGGTTACATTTGTTAGACAACTTAACGAACCTGGCAGCCCTCGAGGGAGGACACCACTTCTGTGTGTTTCTGAGTCGGCCTATACGACTTCTGCGTCCCCACCTGTCTGTTGTTGGCTCTCGTCGTCGCTTTCCACCCAGACCTGGTTAGTGCTGTTTTCCTGAGCTGAAGCTTGTCTCAGTCCTCTCCCCGTTGCTTGCCCCAGAATCTCTGCTGAGTCTTTGCAAGTCTAAATAGAGTTCATAGAATTTTAGGTGATCTTCAGTTACTCTGGTGATTTTTATTAGCCTGCTGGAACATTAATGTGTGCATAGCATTGTGTCTATATTTAGAGTTACTGATATTACGCAAGATTGGATCTAATCTTTTACATCTCCCTCCTCCTCCTACCATCATTCTCTACTTGGAATGTCCATCAAATTGATGTTTAGGTGCTTAAGAGGGAGCGGCGTGCTGGAGCAGCCTGTACTGTCAGGGGCCGTGGTGGCTCTGAGGATTGGGGCCCCTTTGCCCTGGGAGGGGGAAGCCAGAAGGAACAGCTCCTCTAGCCAGAGTGTGTCTTGAGGAGGGTCCTGGAGCAGTGCCAATGACCTTTGTTTTTAGCTCACTTGGTGCCAGCCCCGGGCCAGGCACAGAGAAGGTGTTTGTGGATGACTGAGGGCTGGACTGAGTGCAGGACGGCCTGTGGCCATTGACTGGGGAGGGAGGGACTGTGGACTAACTCTGAGTTGGAGGCAGGAAGTTGGAGGCATTGAGTCAATGACTAGTTACTAGTCAGTACCTGAGCCACTTGGCTAACTCAGTACCTACTGCGCCCTGTCAGTTTGTTGATGCCTTTTTGGACTGTACCTTGTTAAACAGTGAAGTAAAGATTATTTTATTTCCTGTGTAGTAGGAAAGTTTGCAAGTCCTTGTCACTTGTTCGGTTCTCATCACAGAAATCTGTGGTAGAATATTCTGGGACAGCAGGACAGGGGCAGGCGGAAGTGGTCAGAGGAGACTGTTGGCTGCTCTGGGAGGCGAAACCAGCTTCCTGCCTGACGCTTGGGGCCTGGCTCTAGGGGGCGCCTCTGTGCTCCGCTTCTGTGCAGGTGAGTGGAGGGCAAGTCTCACAGCCTTGCCCCGGCACACCCCTCCCCACCTACCTCAGCTGCTCTTATCACACCCGCTCTGCGGGGCACTGGGTCTCTGAGCCCACCAGGCTTATCCCTCTCTCAGGACTGGCCTTCCCAGCCGCTTTGTCTCGTGTCCTCCTCGGTCAGAACGCGCCGTCCACACTCTCGTCCCTTCTTGAGCTTGCGTTTTCTTCAGCACCTCAAGAACTGCCTGGCGTTGTCTGAATCCTCAAAGGAGGTATGTGTTGTGAAGGCCGATGAGGTGCTGAAAATGTTGCCTGGCCCAGGTACAGACGCAGGAATATTATGGTAAATTGAGGAGATGTTGCAATTTCTTTCAGACCAAACCCGTCCGGGAACATGGGATTCTCTAGCACAGGAACCCAGGGGGCCCCCTGTGGAGTGCTATGGTGTCTGACTCTGTCGGGGCCACACACACTTGACCTTATAAACACAAGCCCCGTTTATGGGTACTAGGAGAAACTTTTAAAAGTCCTTTTGTTCCACAGGTTTATTTGTAAATTGGTTGTCAGGCTGGAGAGCTTACCCCATTTTCTAAAAAAGGCTTCTTATGTTGACCCAGAAGAGTACCAGCCTCAGATTCAAGAAGTTCAGGCACACAGGTAGAAAGTACTTTCTGACAGATGAGCCTGCTATCTGTTCCTATTTGAAAAAAAAGGTGTAAGTTAGCTTATGGGAATCATTTATTCACCCTAGCATTTAGGTGACAGTGAGCATTTCCCCCCTCTTGCTAAGCTGGGAGGAGGCACTGGTGAGATGGGTGCCCTCTAGGGGGCTGCTGAACCCGGAAGGGTGCTGACGGTTGTTTTCAGTTGTGACCAGAGCTGTGAGGGTGGAGGGCGGGGCTTCTGTTGGGCACACCCCCCACAGCCTCCCTCTCCGGCATCTCTAAGCCACCCTGGGCAGATAAAGCCCAAGAGGTCAAGGGAAGGTCCCAGCTGCCTGTGTCTAAATCTGAATGGCTTCCTGGGGCTTTGAGCTAAGCCCCTTAGGGTGTGAAAACTCCAAAAACAAACCAAAGGCTTTCTGATGCTGGGCGACAGGAAGCCGGTCAGTTAACTCAGTTAACGCTGGGCTGGGAATTTTCTTTCTTTCTCCCCCTTGTGGCAGCTCTGCCCAGGGCCTGTATACTCAGAGGTGTTTTTGATGTCTTAACATGGCATGGCCTCCCCAGCTTTTGCTCAGGTTGCATGTTTCCTATGGGGATGGCCAGCCCTGTCTTGGTACAGCTCCTCTGGCAGTTTCCCGGAGCATGGAGGCCCAGGGCAGAGCTGCTTGGCTTATGTTCTTGCCGAATCCTTTTTTCCTTTTCTTCAGCTTTATTAAGACATTACTGACAAATGAAATGGTAAGGCCTTACCTTGAGGTGTGGTGTCTACATATACATGGTAAAGGGGTCCCTCTATCTAGTTCATTAGTACCCACCCCCTCGCACACAGATCTTGGTGGGTGGGTGTGAAGAGTCTTTAAGTTCTGCTCTCAGCAAATTTCAGTGGTCTAAATCAGTGGTATCAAATATAGGTGCCATGTTTTACATTGGGCGTAGGCCTCATACAGCAGAACCTTACCAATAAATACCCATCAGCTGGGACCTCTGCTTTCAGATGGGGCGTCCAGTCTTGACCACGAGCAGCCTAGACAGCCTCCTGAAGCCTCAGCTTCCCTGTGTGTGTGTGTTGGGAGAGGACATGAAGGCTCCAGGGGGGACCTGGGAGCAGGTGTGACAGTCCCCACGCTGGGCTGTTTGGAACAAGCTCTGTTGTGCCCCTGAGGCGGCCTGCACCCAGCCTGTTGAAGGGGCTCTGTGTGCCCCACTTAGCCCTAGTGTTGCGCTCATAGCAACACTGTGAGTATCAGGGCTGGTAGCTGACTCCCCTCTTTGCAGCTCCTGGGCAGGTTACCAAGGCGCTAGATCCTTTTCAGCCTTTGCCGTAGTGTAGCCTCTGAGAAAGAGGAGAAAACTGCCCGCGCGCCCGCACTCAGGCCTGGCTAGTGAGTCTGTGGCTTCCTTCACCAGTCTTCCAAAGTAATTGTCTTGGAGCTCAGGATACTAACTGCTGCATTCCGCTTTGAAAAAAATGTATTCAGGTTTCCAAAAGTCAGTTTACAGATTAAAAAAAATATTTTTTAAAACATTTATTTATTTACTCGTACAGAACTGGGGTACAGGCCAGAGGTGCAAGGGTGGTGAGAGGCTTCCCCAAAGACAGCAGGGAGCAGAAAAGGCAGGTCAATGAAGTACACTGCTGAGGGGAGCAGCGGGCAAGACAGGAGAGGTCTGCTGCGCCCTGTGGGTCACCTTTGGGGCGGGGATCGAACTCGTTCTGAAGTGGCTGCAGCCAGCTTACAGTGTTGGGTTCTAACCCATTACGCCACCATGGAGGGCCAGAATAAAAACAATTTAAATGAGGTTATTACCATATTTATTTACTTATTTTTTAAAGATTTATTTTTGCATAGATGAACTTGGGTGCAGGCCAGCGGTTTGGGGTGGGGAGTGATGAGAGGATTCACCAGAGACAGAACAGGGAGCAGAACGGGTAGATCTACCGAAATTCATTGCTGAGGGGAGCAGCTGGTGGATCAGCTCCCTGGCCTGGGTTGAACTCAGGTCTTATTGGTGATAACACTGAGGCTTAACCCTTAAGCCACCAGGGAGGCCCAGGATACCATATTTAGAAATGAGAAATTTGTGTGCTAATTTCTATGTGTACTTTAGCTAATAAAAAATACCAGGAGGCTTTCTCCTCGGTGGTTTCGATAGCCCCGTGCTGGGGAAGGCATTTTGCTTGTGCCTGTGACGATGTCGGGGCTGAGGTGCCTGCAGACAGGCCACAGTGGTGTCCCAGTGGTGTCCCAGTCCCGAGCCAGGCAGCCCCTGTCTCCGGAGGCCGGCTTTTGCAATTCCAACCCGAAGTGTGCAGAGGTGTGCCTTCGTACTGACTTGCTTATTGAATAGCTAGGGGATTTCTTCCTCCTAAAGCAGCCTGTTGACATTAAAAAGAAAAACTGAGATATGGGCAGCACACAAATTTGGAATGATTCTTTTCTTGGCACAAGATGTCCTTAAAAACTCAAAGAGCTTCATTGTTGTGGGAAAATTAATCTTTTCAGCTTGCGGCTTGCTTTATGCTAATGTTGGCTTCTTTGAAAGTCCTTGGGACTCGGGCGTTTTCTGCCACAGTGAAATAAGACACACTTTCCTCCTCCCGCTGCCCAGCCTGTCGTTGGCCTTCACTTTGCTCTGACCTGCGGGGCCAGACGGAACCAGTTACCACACGTTTGGTTTTGCTCTGATTGGAAAGTTATTTTTAAAATAGCCATCATGTTCTACTTGGGGTCTCCAGTCCCCTCCCCGTTACCTGGCACACATGTCTGATAGAACTTTATTTCCAAAGATAAGAATGAACCGAGGCAAAGTTTTTGATTGGTAATTGTGTACAGATCTCTGCCAGTGCCGCTGACCGTGTGGCGACTGGGTCGGCCACAGTGGTAAAGCCCTGCTTCCTGGGGAGGCGGCACCCCACAGAGGCCGGGGCAAGCGCCAGTGTCCTTGGTCAGGGTTCAAGCCCTTGCCCGGTGGGTACTGTCAGTGGGGGGGTGTCCAGCTGGCCGGCGTTGCCTCCACTGTGTGTGCCCCAAGTATTCATGTGAGGAGGAGTAGCGATCTTTACTTTTAAAATGTTCTAAATAATTTTGGTAGCCTTTGACTTAAAAGCAACTTTACATTGTATTTTGCTGCCAGATTCCCTGGGAGTTTAAAGCAATATGGTGCCCGAGATTTGCATATTTTGAAAATGGCTACAGGTGGCTGAAACAAAATAGATTAACACAGACATGCTTGAAGGACATAGTGGTTTCTTTTAGAGACTCACAAACAAATATCAAAGCGACTTCTGAAACGCTTAACATCACCATCCTGGCCTGGGTTGCCAGCTTCAGGTTTCAGTTATATTTTTGCATATTTGCTTACTGGACCAGAAAACAAAAATAAATCAACTGGGTTTTCTTCCTCACGGGTGGCTTTCCTGTGTCTTCACTTGCAGAACGCCCCCGAGCCTGTGGCAGCCCCCGAGACTCTGGCTGAGGTGCCCGAACACGTGCTTCGAGGACTTCCAGAGGAAGTGAGGCTTTTCCCATCTGCTGTTGACAAGACGCGGATTGGTGAGTACCGAGATCGCAGAGGGAGATGGGGAAGGGAGAGCGGGCCGCTCTCAGGCTGCCTCCGGGGCAGCAGATGGACACTTGGACCAGGAGGTGTGGTGTTTCCGCATTTCCCAGTCAGGACTCCCGGGTGGACTTAGACGATAAAGTGAAATCAGGACCGAAACAGCAGCGTGCTGGCCTCCCCGTGACAGCCCCCGCGCCCTGCCTGCGCCCGCGACGCCCTCTCCCCGCTCCTGACTTCACGGTGACAGTGTGATCTCGCTGTGCCATCACTTGGGTGTGATGCTTCTGGCTTGCCCCTTTCACCGACTGTGAGCGCCTTCTTTCCTGCTTGTCCTGTGTCTCAAACTCCTGCCGCTTTTTGGACCCAGGGAGGGGCTGAGCGAGAGATGTGGCCGACTGGTTTCCAAAGGGGCGCGGGGCCCTCAGGCAGCGCCACCCTGGCTTCGGCGTTGGTGTGCTGATCTTCGTGGAGGCTCAGGGAGTAAATGACACTAATTTGGCCACAGGCGCTCGTGGCTTACTTCCTGTTTTCAAAGATGGACTTCTGATGTTACAGTTTATGCGTGTAAAACTGTGTATGGATATGTTTTAATAAATGCGTTTCCTAAATGCTCATTGAAAAATGATGCATGAAGTAATGTGAGCATTTATGTTATACTCACATGAAAGTGGCTGGTTTTATAGCTCAACAAATTGCTTCTTAGCTGTGGCATCAAACGGTATTCTTAGCAGACTCAGAGAAAGCTGGTTGCGTGACCCCCTGTTCATGTGGAAAGCGAGGCTGGGAGGTGAGGAAGCCTGTCCCAAATGGTGTAGGGCGGGGCAGGTAACGCTGGGTGCTGGCCCTGGCCCTGGCGTTTTCCTCGCTAGGCCTCACCTCCGTGCTCCTGGCTGCGGCAGGTGAGATTGCCCCGAGAAAACCACCAAGCAGACTAAATCTTGGCTGTTTGAGACTCTGAAAAGTGTGTTGACTCAGGAGTAAGGAAAAGGCCGAGCACTTTGTCCAAACTTTGAGACCACTTACTCATGAAACTTTAGTCCTTTTGCGAAGGCAGCCTGTGTTCATGGGAGACAACTGCAAATTGGAAACGTGGGAAGAGGAGTCCACAGTTAGCGATGGTTTTGGTACATGCTGACGTTTCTCCCCTTCAATTGTTTATTGTGTTACTCTTCCAGTGTTTTTGATGGTTTCCTCTGGGTAGTTTTACATATAAAAATTTAAAACATACAAATAGGCAACGTTGTTTCTTGGACAATACAGAAAAGTATAAATAAGAAAAATAAATTTTGAAGATTTGATTTAACTTCATTTCACCTGTGCTCAGTTGATTTAACATTATCTCGCTGTTAGGCAGCCTTTTAACTCTTTTGTGGCGCTGAATTGCTTTTAACATTGTCAGTCTCTAAAGTCACCAGTATACATCACACAAATATTGGTTTTTATTTTCTAGGTGTCTGGGCCACTAAACCAATTTTAAAAGGCAAAAAGTTTGGGCCATTTGTTGGTGATAAGAAAAAGCGATCTCAGGTGAAGAGTAATGTGTACATGTGGGAGGTAAGTGAATTCCAGTTCTGGTTTATCGGAGTTCAGTGCTTTCTTTAAAGATATCATTTTGAAATTTGACATTTTGAAATTTTGACATTTTGAAATTCAAACAGCCTCTTACTGTGTTCTTTAAAATCAAGAGTTTCTTTATTGAAGAGAAAATGTGTATCCTTGGATACAGATTGCTATTTACATTTGTGTTTGAAACCGTTTGGCTTCCTCAACAATAAGTGTCACGCCCACTTTTTGTGTCTCCTTATTTAGGGTGTTTTGCATTGCAGCCAGGAGTTGACTTCCTGTTGCAGGCCTGTCACTGACAGGTCCGGTGGTCAGCGCAGAAGGCCCTCCAAGGAGCCTGCAGCAAAACCCTGCTAGGGTCTCTCTGTTTCAGGAAGAGCTCTGCCCTTGGGATATTCCCGAGTTGGGTGTACTGAGTGCCCGCATGTGTATGTGGTTCTTGGACTTTCTCGAAAGGCTTTTATGCTGTTTGTTTTGTGTTCTCGCAGCACACTGGCAGGTAGAGCAGAGCGTTGGCTCACTGCTTTCGGAAGCAGCCAGGTCAGGAGGGGAGGGAACCTGTCTTCTGGGGGGCCCACGTGTCGACGCAGGCCGAGCGCCCAGACCTCTCTCCCGACAGTGAGGCTGCTGTAGGCATTCTCATGGGCTCCTAGAGGTTCAGATCCTGCCATGAGCTGGAGACTGGGCAGGACATCCACTTCCGCCCTGGGCCCTGAAACCTCCCGTTTAGAAGTGGGGAGAATAAAAAACAGCTCATCACTAGGATGGTGAAGCTTAGCTGTGCTGCTGTTTCCTGCAGAGCCTGCGTTTACGTTGAGCGCAGCTGAGGTCAGTGCCTGGCAAAGCTCTGCACGTGGGTGCAGGGTGGTGAGGAAGAGCGTTCCTCCGGTCGTCTGACATGGAGTCACATCTGTTTTTCACACACAGAGACACTAAAGCCAAAAAGTAAAATAAGCCTAGTCAGCACTGGGACGCTTCCCGCTAGTGCTGTGGCGTTTGGAGGCCCGAACCGGACCGTGTTGCTCTTTTTCTCAGTCCTGTCAACATTGTTTCTTAACCAGAACATTACGCTCCCAGTCACTTTGATTTTCTTTCTTACAATGAACCCAGTGACGCTTAACCCAAGGGCCTTAGGAAGGATGGCTCGCCACAAGGATAATCACACTCTATGCTGTCTCACCACTTTTGAGGTAAAAGCGTGCTGCATTTGTAGGAAAACTGCCCGGCCAAAAAATGATAGTAATTAACTCGAGATAATGCCTGAGTGATTAAAAATGTCTTGACCACAAAATTATGCTCAAAATAAACTATGATTTTAATTTTAGGTGTTTCCCAAGGGAAACTTAGCAAATCTGCCTTCCCAAGATAGCCCCCGTCTTAGTGAGGATAGTACAGAGAGCTGGGAAATGCCTCCATTGAACCAAGTTCATGGCACCCATTTCACACAGCACGGTCAGGTGGGCGGGCATGCTGTGTAAATCATTAGTGGTGCCTTTGGTAAGCGAAGCTTCATTTGCACTGCAGTTCTGGCTCGGTGTGAGTTCACAGCAGGTGAGTTCACAGCACGTGAACCTGGAGCCTGGATGTGTCAGGGTGGCGGCTTCTGTGGCCTGCCCGACCTCCCCCTGTGAACTTCTGGCACTTGCACGCTGCTGGTCTGTGAGTCCTTAGGACCCTGCTGGGTCTCCTGAGTTTCACTTAAAGATTTACTTCTTATGCAGGGTTGTCTTTCCTGCAGTTACATCTGGATGTCTTTCAGAGAGTTCCTCATATAGGGGGTATACCTTTTATTTGTGTACATAAATGGTGAAATAGAGCAAGCAGGCATTACATTTCCTTACTGAGGAAAAAATAAAAATCAGGTTTAATTTAGTGTTTCCCTGTTGGTCTATTCTAGCTATGGTCTTACCCTCAAAATGCCTCTTATTAATGTAACAGGAACTGCGTATCTTTAAATTCTCATCTTGCCATTTGTTAAAGACCAGCTTACATTGAGCAACCCAGTCTTTTTCCCCAGCTAGAATGCCATTTTAAAGCTAAGCTAAGACAAAGTGCTAAATTGCTTTTCATGAGCCCTTGATTATTTAATTCAGTCTTAAGTCCTCTAAGCTTTCACAGAAAACATGTTATTAGGTCAGAAATTCAAAAGAGAACCGGTAGCATATTCACCTCAGGGTGAATATTCACCTCAGGGTGAATATGCAAAACAGTCAGGTTCTCAAAAGAGGAGAGCAGACTGGGATCAGCTGTGGCGGGTGGCTCTGAGGCTTGGGCTCTTCCTTGACCAGCTTGCTCACACCCTGCTGGCTGTCTGGTGTCATCTGTTCTGATTATAAAATAATGTGATATGGAAAATTACAGCCAAGAAAGAATAATCATCTGTGAACATCGAAAGCCACCTTTGCTAAACACCTTTCGACTTCACTTCTAAGGCACTCATGCTTCTCATGGACAGAGCTTTTGAATTGTTTGCATAGGAATGGTTTTAATTAGTCTTTGAAACATAGACTGTGTTTAGAGCAGTTTTAGGTTCACAGCAAGCTTGAACAGAAAGGGCAGAGCGATTTGCAGACTCCCTGCTCCTTGACACCGCAGCTTCCCCTTCTGTAAGCATCTGGTGCTTCTGTGACAGCCCGTGAACCGGCATTGACATCATGTTTGCCTGAAGTCTGTAGTTCATGTTAAGGCTCACTCCTGGTGTTGTCTGTTCTGATAAGTCTTTCTTAAAAATTATAAAAGTAATAAACACTGATTACAAAACGATAGAAATGATCTGGAAAATTACAAACAAGAAAGTAAAAATCATCTGTGAACATCTAGAACGTTCTTTTTAATGCTGCTTCTCCGTTTTTCTTGGGCCTCTTTGCACCCCACTACACACACAGTCCCCAGGTACACTGTGTGCAGTTTTGTGACCAGCTTTTATCTTTTAGCTTGTGGACATGCCTGTGTCAAATACCTACCTACATTATTCTTAAGCTCTCTAGAGCTCCATGGTCATCTTCCATATTTAAGGACATTTAAATGCTTCTAATCTTTTCATGATTATACAGTTCTTCAGGACAAAGCTCACTGTATATACATATTTGCTGACTTGTCTGATTATATTAAGATAAACTCCTGGAAGTACATAATTGTTTAGTCAGAAAAGTTACATGCATTTTAATCTTTGGTGTAGAAGAGTTAAGCAATCTTCCTAACAGCTTAACTTGGACTTAGATTGGAAATGTGGTCTGACGCCAGAAGAATTCTCTTTGGGGTTTACTTATTCACTCACTCTACCCCAACTGGCGAGCTCTTCCATGGGCCCGGCACCACTCAGGTTCTCCCGGAGCATGGAGCATGGCATGGTGGCATTTGTGTACTGTGTGGACCCCTGCAAATACCTCAGGAGTTTCTGTGGTTCTAGACATGCCTGGAGTGCCCCTGGCCCGGCTGGGTGAGCTCCCGGTGGCCTGCATGGTACTATAGACGAGGCGGGAGACTTGCTAGGCCCCAGTGCTGATCAGATTCGCCCACTTACAAAGACTGAACTTTGTCAAATGCTTTCATTGAAATGCTTTACTAACAAGATAAGGTTTTTCTTTATTCTCCCTTGTAATGTTTAAATGAGAGTAACTAACAAGCTTTATTGATATGGCTGACAATAAATGAGATGGTATATGTGAAATCATTTGATACAGATATTTTCTGGCTCAGAAAATGTTAGTTGAACCCGAATATTAAAAAAAAATGAATGATCACATAGAGGGCAAGACCCCCTTTTTTGGTAGTTGAGTAGTTTTTAAAAGATTACTAGTCTTCATTTTTGCTTAGATTTTTTTTTTTCTCTACTCTGTTAGTGAATATGGTCTATATTTTGAAACAAAATTTAGAATGTTATATGGGGGGAAAATGAAAAACGATGTGAGTAAATACTGTGGGACCCTCCTGTTACCCCTTTACTCCTTTGTTATACTTGCCAAGTAGAAATATAATTAGATATTGTCTGTCTTTGAAACAGACAGAGTGGGGAACGGTGTATAAATCATAGTTCTAGCTCGAGAAGTCAACACACTAGATCTCCAGAGATAAAAAGATGAAAGAAGCCTCAGCCAATATGGCAGTAGCAGGTGTGGAGCGTGGGCCCTGTCCTGAGCATGCATGAACCCCAAGTTCCATGCAATTGGAGAGAGCATTCAGAGACCAGACACCAGAAATGGCTTCATTCTGTAGACTGGCACTCTGGGGCTGGTTTGAGTGAGTCAAGGCCTGTTTCAGCGCAAGAGCTGACATAGCGTCTTCATTCACCTGTCCTAACTCCCCAAAGGGTGTCTGGGGTCACTGGGTAGAAGGACTGTTGACAGCGTGGCTGCTGCTACATTTGCATTGATTTTTTTTTTAATTTACACATCTTGAATTAATACATATCTAGTATAATAAATAACTGATAAGGGAAAATGTTAAGACCTTTATACTCTTCCTCCCCCCCCCCCCAAAGCCTGGGGTGTGCCATGCTGAGCAGTTTGGTTTGTTCTCTGCATGCCATTGTGTCATGTCGATTTAAATTTGTGCTTTTAAATTGGAGGGTGTTCTGACTTTCTGGAGATTCATTCAGTTGAATGAAAATTGGGTGGTATGAAGATGGCTTTCTGTTTGACAGAAACTTAATCCCCATCTGCTTCATGTAGGGGTAGACGTATAACCTAGGGCAGGAAGGCTGGGGCTGTGTGGACAGAGGAAAAGCGAGGGAAATCAATCAGAACTCCCTTACCAGACAGAACAGAGGTCAAAACCCCACCCCCTTCCCTGTCTTCCCTTTCACCCCACTGCAGGAATGAATGTGAGGTGGGGTCTGGCACTGACATTAGTGACTGCGGTGAAGTTGTCAGCCTTCCCGAAGGGTCCTCACTTACCAGCTTAGCAGTATCTCAGAGGGTTCTTGTATTAGCCAATTGAAGCAATACATAAAGCATCTGGCTCAGCTTTGGTGTAGAGGGGCTTCTCTTGCTTCTGGTCTTTCTCTCCAAATAGGAAATTTCTGTTAACTTGCAAAATTGTTCCCCAATAGTACATAAGCAGGTGCCCTTGTGTTGTTAAAAGGGACTTGTCCTGGGCCCTCTCTGGTAGCGCAGCAGGTTAAAGCACAGCACTGAGAAGCTAAAGCCACTTCAGCATGAGTTCGATCTCCACCCTTGAGGTGACCTTAAGGGCACAGCAGACCTCTCCTGACCCACCCGCTGCTCCCCTCAGCAGACTACTTCGTCATTTGGCTTGTTCTGCTCCCACTCTGTCTCTGGTGAATCCTCTCACCACCCCTGTACCTCTGGCCTATACCTCAGTTCTGTATGCATAAATAAATACATCTTTAAAAAAAAAGGGACTTGTCCTACAGATTGGATCCAGAAAGCATATTGGTTGCATGGAAATATTTCTCATTCGGGTCCAGTCAGCTGAATATTTCATGGTCATTAAAAAGATTTGGAAATGGATAAGTGTCATTTGCTAGTTTGAGCTAGGGTGGGAGTCTCACCTGCCTTTGCTTTGTCTTTCGTCTGAAAGGAAGGGGCTCCAGTTGGTTTTCTGGCGACTTTCTATTCCCTCAGCCTAGTGGTGTTACAGCATGCTTGCGGACTAGTAATTTGTAGTAAAATTCCGTCTCATTTTGAAGACGAGGTTGTGTGTCAGTCACTGAGGTCAATTCTGATTGGAAACCAAGATTTGACCAACGAGGGTAGGAACTGGATAAAACCACATTTTCACCCCAATTCCTAATTAGAAGGCTAGGCTCTCCAAAATGAAAGGACTACATACCTCAGAAAAAGGTGTAGGTAAAGGTGGTGGTTGTGATGGGAGTGAGAGAGGAGGGGGGGTGTTTACCTTAGTATTCAGCAGCCTAGGTTTTCATCAAAAGACTTGTTCTCCCTCCCACACCCGGTCTTTACTTAGAGATTAGTGGAGATTAGTGGAGTGGTGGAGACTAGAAACTTCAGATAAGTGAAAAAAAGAAAAGAAAAACGATGTATAATCCTGCTTTTCCAAGAAAACCATTACTAACTTTTATGTATTTAGTATCAGATTTTTTTTCTGTGTGTATTTGTAGTTATTAAGACAAAGTAGTACCATATATTTCAGACTAGCTATCAATGGCTTTATTCGGTCATCAGTGCATTGTGACTGCAATGTACTGACATACATTTCGACAGCTTCTAGTTATCTTTGTGTTCTGTATTACAAAATAATGTGTATTTTGTCAGAAAAATTCTTAGGGGGTTTGGAAATCGCTCACAGAAAATAAAAGTTTCCACCTAAGCCAATGAATCACTGCACAGTAATCCCCTTTAATGTCAGGCAGTGTTCTGCTGCATGCCTGGATTACAATCCGGAGCTAATTGTAATGGTTGGCATTTCGCAAGGGAAGGCGGCGGTCTGCCCTGAGCAGGCGCCGTGGCTCTGCACGCGGCTCCCACACTGGCGGTCACTGCCGCGTGGTCCGGCGAGGCCCAGGCCGGGCCCCGTGCACGTGCACTGCAGGGCTGTTACATTCCACCCTCAGAATGGCCACGTGCAACAAAAAAGTTGATTCTCAGCATTGTGTGAAGAATATCTTTCTTTTTCCTTAAAAACAAAAACAGTTTGAAAATTTTTTGATTTGAAGTTATTTTTGATAACTAGGTAGGTTTGACTTTCCTTTCCACAAGGTTTTGGGCATGAGCATAATCCTTTGTGAGTTACCTGTCTGCACATTTTTAAAAAAGGAAGTGCTCATTTTTTGTTTTCTCTAAAACTAGGTGTTTCCTCATTGCACAGCATTCGTGTGACTTAGCAGATGCCTTAGTCCCTTCTGAAACAAGGGGTTGGCGCACAGACAGCGCTCGCCAGCGAGACATGGCCCTGGGCGGTCCCGGCCGGGTGGCCGGGCGCTCGCCAGCTGCTTTCTGAAGGGGGTTTCCTGGCACCATCCCGTGGTGGCTCCACAGTCCTCCTAATGCCTGCAGTTGTCCCTGCACTCGCGGGGACAGCGTCGGGCTGCCGTCTGCTGCGCTAAACCAAAGATAGGACTGCTTGGTTCTTCCCTAAGTTAGTGGAAATTGACCATTGTGGACTGACAGTGTTACAGGATTATCTGTTTTTTTTTTTTTTTTCTCATTTTATCCAGCTGGCAACGCCACAAATAATTAATCAGTCTACATATGACATTTTAAACTAAAGCAGCTGAAATTATTTTGGTGCATGCTTCAAATTTTGCATTGTGATGCTGTCTTGTCATACCATACCACGTGAGAATGTTTTAAGGGGGAGGGTGTGTGCCTGTGTGGACGTGCATCTGAGCTGAGGCTGAGTGTGACCGTGAGTTTGGAAAGGAGTTGATACGTGTGGCTAGCTCTTCAGAGGGGTGCAGATAGGTGTTCCAGTTAAAGACCAATTTTTGAATAAACTCTCTGGGGGCTTAGGGGATTGTGGAAATGCAGGAATGGTTGGCTGCAGGAATTGAAGCATGGTGGTTGTCACATGGGGCAGCTGGCTGAGCGACAACGCCAGCATGTTCTCGCTGAGAACATCTTTCCTTCAGTCCACGGTTACTTATCGAGAGACCGCTCTGTGCCTGGCCCGGCCAGGTGCTGGCAGCACTGTGGAGGCTTTCTTCATGGAGCAGGTGTGGGGAGATCGCTACAGGTACATCAGGGGCGGTACTAGGATGTTGTTGAAAGGAGGAGGATTTGTAGTGTCAGCCGGCACACTTGGGACGCTGGGCTCAAGGCCTGCGTCTAGGCCCATCTTGACGCAAACCCAGTGGGTGACTTAACTCTGAGTTTCAGTTTAAGAGAGAGGAGAGTGAGTCTGTAGCAGTGTGAAGTGACATAATTTGGCCCCCATGGTCCTCAGCTCTCGCGGAAGACAGTTGTTGGTGCCCAGGCTGGCACCTGCCCACTGGCCCACACGGGCGCCAAGGCCCAGGAGCCTAGCAGGTGAGGAGCTGTGCCCCAGAAGGAAAGCTGCAGTATGCAGAGCGGGGGTGGGGGTGACTGGTGTGGGGAGGGGAGAGGCAGAAGCACCCAGATTCTCTCCTGGGTTGTTTCTTTGGCAGACTTGTCACCACTTGATTTGACAGTCCCAGTGTTTTATGGTATAGATTTGGGGTGGTAAATTGTGTGTGGGGGGGCGGGGTTTGCATGCATGTATTTACCTTGGTCCTCACGCTGGCCCTGGTGGATGTTTTAAGGTCAGCGAGTTTGCAAAATCCTTGTGTCCCCTGTCACCCTCCTGGAGGCTGTGTGCAGCCTTGCGAGGCATTGGCGCCCCCGTCAACTTTAAAGTAATGGCTCCTGCTGGACTGTGTGGCCGGGTGTCACTGGCTTGCATGTGACGTGCAGAGCAAGCAAGGAAAGCTCCCTGGACATGGTGCAGGACACTGCTGCCCTCGGCCTCCTCCTGACTGACCCTTCAGAGAATGGAGTTGCCCTTTCTCTCTGTCACCATATTTGCAAAGCATTTTGAGAGCATTAAGAATGATGACTCTGTGTTCCAAGTTCAGGAGGAAGAAATTCTCCAGCAAGCCCACACAGGACAGTAGCTAAGGAGGCTCACACACTTTCGGATCTCAGGTTTTTTTATCTCGTAGTTTTCTTTTCTGTCACTTACTTTGTTTCATGGAAATGCTTTATAGGGTACTTGCGGTAAGGAGAAAGAACCGCCTTGCGCTTGGGAATTCAGGCGTCTAGGGACACGCCCACGTTAACAGAGCCGTTTCCTCCCTCCCGAAGGTCTACTACCCCAACTTGGGATGGATGTGCATTGACGCCACCGACCCCGCCAAGGGGAACTGGCTGCGCTATGTGAACTGGGCTTGCTCCGGAGGCGAGCAGAACTTATTCCCGCTGGAGATCAACCGGGCCATTTACTATAAAACCTTAAAGGTAAGGACTGAAAGGTCAGACCTCCCCTGCTGTTGTGCGAGTCACTGTGCCACCGCCGCTCTTGGGGGTGACGGGCCTGGCGCCTTTGCAGATTCTGCTGAGGGCGTCGGCAGCGTCCCCAGAGGCTGCTGTGTCAAGTCCGCGCCGCCACCCTCGTGTGCCGGGCGTGAGGGCGGTGGTGTAGGTCATGCACCGCATCTCTGCAGCTGCCAAGGACTTCAGTATGCCCCCCACCTCCACCCCAAGACCCGCGTGCATGGGCAGCTGCCATGTGTAGCTTCGGGTCAGCTTCTCCAGCCCCTGCATTTGATTTAGAATGGAAATGGAACAGAAGCTTCTCCCTTACGCTGGTTCTGTGCTTGGAGACACTCGGTGCTGACATGAAGGGGGAGGCGGCCATTGTCGAGGTTGTGCGAGGTCGGCGGCACACTGGGGCATTGCCTCGGGAAGCGAGGAGCAGACAGGCTTGCTGCCTCCTCATGTTCTCGGTGGCAAATCCGCACTCACAGTGCATGGCAATGCTCTTGCGGGCAGAGTCTTGGCGTTCAAAAGGAGATGGTTGGCCCTCTTGGGAGCAGATGGATTTGCTGCCAGGATTGCTTCATGAAAATTGCTCTTTATGCATGCCCACTACACATATCATAGATGGGGGCAGTGTGTGGAGGAACGATCTTCGTGCAGTTGAAAACACCGGGAGCGCATATTGGTCAGTTCTTCCCGGCGGTGGGTTCTGCGGGAGGGGGAGTGGGTGCGGGAGCGGGAACACGACCCCTGCAGAGCCCCAGAAGGGAAGGGTCTGGTCTCCCCTGGCCGTGTTTCCCAGCACCTGAAGCCACTTGGATTTACCTCAGCTGTACCTGCCTCCTTGCCTCAGCCGTATAGGGAGTCTCATCTGCCTGCCGCCCTCTTCCTGTTATCTTTTGTTGGCTTGTCTGTGTGATTGACTGGTAGGGATGACTACACACGGACTCGAGATGGGGTTCAAAATTGGATTCAGAGTTCATTCTGCTTCTCGAATCGATTTAAAGCGAGTTACATCTGGTAGAATCAGTGAGATGTAGCAGTCTGGCGGAGGTGAGGTAGCAGCACGGGGCTGAGGTGAGACTGGGTAGTGGAAATGAGGGTTACACAGGGGAGCAAGCCCTGGGGGAATCAGGACGCATTTCAGGCCCTTCATAGGACTCAACCGTGACTGCACCGCACCGTCTCTGGTGAGCCCTCTCTCCCCTCTCGCTGGCAAGAAGCAAGTCCTGGGAATGTGAGCAGCCGGGGGGACAGGGCTTGGGAGAGTGACTGCTGAAGCCAGACTGCCTGGGCTAATCGTGGCTCGCCCTGTGGCCTCCCCCCCGACACCTTCCTGTGCCTCAGTTACCGCTTGGGCTAGAAACAGATCATCACATTCTGACTTAGGGGCCGAGGGTCGGGCGTGTGCTCAGCTGTCAGTGCACCCATCAGTCAGAGAGTTGGGGCCAAGATCTGAACTGACTTTTTTTTTTTTTTAATTCAAAAGCACAGGTTTATTAGGGAAAGGGACATAAGAGTAAAAGACAGCTGTACAGACATGAGTGGGCAGGAAGAGCTGCCCTGAAAGGGCCAGGTTTACTGAGTGAGGCCTGAACTGAAGGCGTGCCGCTGAGGGAGGTCAGTGCAGAGAAGCCTGGTGTGGGCAGGCAGGAGGCTGCTGCCCTGCGGAGGGAGGCAGTGGGTGCGAAGAAGCACCTGACAGTCACAGGTGGGCAGAAGGATGCTGCTGAACTGACTTTTTAAAGAGGGTGCTGGGAAGTGGATTGTAGGTAGATGCGTGGGTGTGTTCTGAGTATTTCTCTAATCCTGACCTCGTATATCTTAGTGACCTTGTCATCGTAATTGGACTGGTAAAAATCTCAAGTTTATAGTCACTGCCATTATGAGAAGAGACTACGCTTGGTTATCTGTGAGAACCTAAAGGAAAACTTAGAAAAGTTTAATGAATGTCTTTCCATTGTTTTTTGTTTTTATTGCTTTTTCAATATTAAAATTTTTGTGTGAAAAACAAGGTGTTTTGTACTTTAGCTTTTACTTTTTTTAAAAAATGTGAATTAATATTATGTTTAGGACCTAATTTTCTTCTGAATTTGACTTACAAATCTGAAACATACTGAGCAGTACAGAAGCAAAAACAGTAGAGCACAGAAGCAGACAGTCAGATTTTAAAAAGGCATTATTATCCTTTTCATAAAGGTCTGCTCTGTATGTAGCTGATTTCATATGAACTTTTCCAAGTTCACGGCTCTGTAGTAATTTTAGTCACTAGCAGTCGTGAAGGTTGTTTGCTGAACGAGCCGGGCTTTTCATCTCGCGGTTCTAGCTGTTCATCAAGGACTTTCATTTTAGGTTGGAGGCAGAGAGAGTCTGGCATGTTTTTATAATTTTTGTCTTGTAACACAGAGCCTACCCTCCTGTGAAGGGTGGTGCCGGCACTGACAGCTCTGAGGGCATGCAGGGAACGGACATGGGCACGGTCGCCCTGAGTCTGGGGTCCGGCGTGTCCAGCAGGTGCGGCCAGCACTGTTCTGGCTGTGATGCTTAGGTTGGCGACAGGTTGGGAATAAAATCTTGCTCACTTCTTTTTTAATTCAGTTTTATTCAAGGTTTTACCTATTTCAGCACACTCTGGACATTTCAAATTTCATATATCACCACTTCATAAGTAGGAGACATAAAAATTAGAGAAATAAACTGTTTGGAACTAGGAGTAGTTGGCTTAAAAAAAAAGCCTATTCTTTCGATAGAAACACCAATTTATCAGAATGCCAACAAGCATCTGCAATGACCATTTTGACCTGGGAACAACTTATAGTCAATTTAAGGTTTTTGGTTTAGGTATCATTGATTCTAGAAGGGGAATAATACCTTGGTTCAAAGATAGAAAACTGCAGGTTTTAGCCATCCTAGGGAGCAGAGGAAACAGTGACTTGTTCTTTTATTTTAAAGAATTGAGTATTTTGGGGCCTCCCTGGTGGCACAGGGGTTAAGTCTCAGTGCTATCAAGCTGTCACCAGCCCCTGCAGCAGAAGTTCAGTTCTCGGCCAGGGCTCAGCAGAACTCTCCTGTGTTCCCGCTGCTGCTGAAGAGTGTATTTCAGTGGATCTGCCTGTTCTGCTCCTCGCTCTGTCTCAGGAGTCCTCTCACCACCACCCCACCCCCCACGCCTCTGGTCTGCACCCTAGTACTTGGATGCATAAATAACTAAAAAAAATAAAGTTGAATTTAGAGTATTTTGAAATTTGGACCCTTTATGTAAGAATTCTGTAGAGAAGGGAACATCATACTTTCAAGGGCTAAACTAGAAGGTGTGTTGAAACGAGGAACTGTTGTTTCTAAACTGCGTTCTTACATGGTATCCCCCCCTATCCCAGAAGACCCCAGAGAAGGAGGGCATCCTGCTCCCGCAACGTGGCTGTGGCAGGATCCAGGAGCTGAAGCCATTATTAGGCAGCCCGCACACCTCACTCCTGTTTTATTCCAGTCAAAACTTTGCAGTCAGAGCCTTAGTTTGGATGGTGCCTGGGTGCTTTGTCTTCTATAACCTTTTAGTCCTAAGAAGAACTGGTCAGTTACTTTTGTAGAACATTCCAGTTTGGGCTTCACTTGTGTGCCATCACAAAATCATGTTTACATGTGGGACAGAAATCTCCAGAAGTGAAGCTTGTTCTTTTTGGTGCACACAGGTGATGTCAGTCTGTCTCAGTTTTTTTCCCTTTGCAGTTTATGTTTTGTGCAGAGATATTTGAGACTGATAGAGTCTGACTCCTTCACCTGCTTGTTTGCTTGCATCGATGATTCATGCCGTGATCAATTATTGCCATGTTGAGTGCCTTCTGGTGATTTTCTAATTTCCTCATTTCTAGTACTCTTTAAGGAAGTGCTTTCCTTCTTATTTGTTTACTTGATGGCTGTCCTTTCATTCATTCATTCATTCATTCATGTTTATTCGTGTGGACCTATGGAATTTTATTCACTGGGTTTTAGGGACTTCAGTAAAAATAAAATCCATTGGGAATCACACTTGTGTCGATAGTCCTGGAACATTATGAATAACAGGAGGAATCCCCTGGCCATTTCCTCCACTTCTGCTGAGGACTCTGATCCTCCCGGCTGAGATTCTGCATCTTGTTCTGGGCGGTCAGCACCCTGGGGATGTTTCCGCACTGCTCAAGCCACAGTAGGATGAAAGCTTTGGCGGCTGCACCCATAGGCGGGCCTTCCTGGCTTTTCTTTCTAAACCAGAAGGTGATCCAGGCACCGTGAAGTCCGGATGGCAGGGCTGGTGGGGTCCGTGCGGGGATTCTGCCG